AAGTGTGGAAATTTAGCGTAGGCCCAGCTCTGCCAACAATTCAAAAACATGCGCTGAAATGTTTGTGCCACAAATAAACCTGACCCCAGAGCGTCCAGCAGGACTTTTCCTGGGCATGCAGTCACTCAGAAACATATGACTTTGTGACTGGCTGGGGAGATGAGAAACATTTAGAAATGCCCAACAACATTTAAATCCATCAATGTATAAAGTGAAGCAGTTAACCACTAAACCAATGTGGAGCAGAAAAAAAAGAATAAAATTGTGTAACCATTGCAATCAAAGGAATACATCAAGCGGAAACTGTTATCTCATGTGAGTTTCTATTACGTAGCCACTATGGAGAAAAAGTTAAGATTGTTAAGTCCTGCCAACACAACAAGCCAAGTATGGCTGCGGCCACACACTAGGACTGACTGTGGGCACTCAATCGTGGCTGTTTAAATTTTACGATCTTTGCTTCATGGGAACTCCCAGGGGAATTTCCTACTGGACTACCTGCAACTTGTGTTTTGCCTCAGTAAAAACTGGAGGCTCACATTATTCATGTGTAAACAGCTTCTCTAAATGCTTCCATCTAAACAAACTCTGAATAATTTACTGCATTTAAACGGTCAGCAAAAATAACTGTAACTTTCCTAATCTAGTTACAAAACAATGACTAAAATACTCCATAGTCACTTAAAAATAACAATTTTACCAAAGCTGAATTTTCCTTTAAACCATCTCCAGGCAAAGCCTCCAAAAGAATTAACTGGTAGATTGTATTCATAAATATGAAGCAAGCACTAAACATGCTTTATTCAGAGTTTGTAAAGGCTTGCTTGAAGTATTTGTGTTTAATCATCACTGGTAATTTGAAGCCTGAGCCTTGAAAGTATCCAAACTAAACACCTGTTTTTCAGTGACACTGAGCTGCTGCTTATCAATTACAAGTATCTTTAGAATAAGAAGCCATAAAACATAAAAATGTAATTTTTTAGTACTTCTCCATACATTGGTCCCAATAACTCTTAATATTAAGGGCTTACAATAAAACATGGCTGAGATCATATACAAACAGTTCAGAAGAATTTAAATTCAATAAGCACATTTTAAAGACATGTCCCCTGCAGCTAAAGAAGTTCAAAAAAACATTCAAATAAGCAAATAACATTTTTTTACATTTACAAATGAAACATCATATGAGTATTTATTGATTTTTTTTAAAAATTCAAAAATACATTGTAACAGAACAGAATGTATACGTTCTTCAATGAAAGACAAAACTATGGTTATCATCTGGACCAGAATACAAATACATGCTAACAATTTAAAATCATTTGGGGTCATTCAGAAAACATGAAACAAGCTAGCTGTTTGCAAATGCAGTAGTTTTCTACGTAGTAAATATGCCTGAGAAAGTTCACCTGTAAAGAAATCAGCTTTCAAACTCTTAAACACAAAGAGCTTTCTAGGCTGAAATGGTGAAGAGACCTGTGATATGCACCTGACAGGCCACTGAGCCATTTCCCACAGAGATTCTGTTCACTGCTCCACCTCGGCTCAGCCACCCAGCAGTGGCAGAGTTTCACATCAATACCAGGCTTATTCAAGCGAGGTGTTAAAAAGCATGCTAAGATGATGTAAAACCATCAGTTACATATACAGCGGAGAGACGTTAATAATCGAGACTCTCTACCAAACTCCTTGGTTTGTATCAGGGCCAGGTAAAAAGTAGTAGTCTAGTTTACAGATGAAACGGATTATACTTTTTGGCTCAAGGTAAGACCCTTTAAAAACAATTTCTACATAAGCATCTAGAATCAAAGCATAAAAAACCCAGGACAAACACAACTAATCATTTTACAGTAACCACATACTGTAGGCAAGTAGGAATCAAAACAGTAACATAAATTGTGCATCAGTTCTATGAAAATAACGTGTTACTAGTAGACACAGGCAATCTGAGAAGACGTGAAAATGAGCAGTGAAAACTTCACCGATTAAATTTCTTTTCATCAGAATTCATCTGTTTCTACTGCAGGCAGGTAATAAACAGAATTCAGGAGAACTGAATTCCTATTAGCAGCTTAACTCTACTATGGAGAGGCTTAGGCTTTTACCATTTCTTGCATTAAGAGACATTCAAACTAATGAATCAAAAATGACATTTTAAAAATGAAGACCAAAAGAAAGCTGAATATACATTGTAGACAGAAACAGCATTAGATCAAATCCACAACTGGTGATATCTGATGTACGCAAACGCAATTTAACTATGCTGCTTATTCCAACAGAACATCTGACACTATTTCTTGAATTCTAGCAGCCTCTTTTAAATCACTTCCAACAACTGCATACTTTGTAAATTACACGGGTTTTGATGAAAAAAGTCATTATCAGGCATGCAAAAATTCTAACAGAAACCTCCCAATTTCAGAATTTGGTTACATGATCAAATTACAAATGCTAGAACATATGAAACCAACTTTTGAAATGAAACAAATTCACAACTCTGAAAAGGAAAAAATAAACCAAACCAAACCAAAAAACTACGACAGGAGAAAGAATATTTCTACATAGCTGGTCCTATCCTCCGATGGTGCAAGACAGTAAAATGAGCTACTATCCATATATGCCTGTAATTTTGCATGTAACGGTGATCGAGAAGAGGCTTCCTTTTCCCACCTTCCACACTGCAGAAATGACTGGATGTACTACGGAGGCTGCCACTGTCCTATGAAACGTAGAGCATTTGCCGTTGCTGGGCACAGGTTACCAGTGCTGAAGGACTCATGCACTGGCCCAGCATGGTTCATCTGACATTCTCTAGTATTGACTGTGATGTCAAAAACATTCTGCATTGCTCTGACACCAGGTCTGCTCCTAGGCTGCACCTTCTGATCAAAATGTTGTTCTACAGGTTACAACTAAGAGGTGCAGGCTGGGAAGTAAAGTAACAGCTTTCACGACCCGGCCCAGAAGACAAACACAAAGTTAAGGTGCTGCGTCAGTACCTTCTGGGTCAGAGTCAAAGAGAGAAGCCAACGCCAGAGCAGTATGTAAAGCTTCTAATGCCAAGAGGTGAAGACTCTCAAAGAAGTGCAAGTAAAAAGCATAATTTAAGCCTGTAATTATTTAAGGAGAATAAACAAAAGAGAAAGATGGCCTGCAGTAAGGTGAATGGAAGGAAGGAACAAAAAAAAAAAAAAAAAAAAAAGAGAGAAGGAGGGACGTGTATACTGGTGCAGGGTTGTATCTCCTGGACCCAGAAACTGCCTTGGACACCAGCTAAATTTTACAAGATAAGTTACATGCATGCCCACATTCAAGAGGGCAAGAGTGAAACCTTGATGGTAATGCTATGATTCTGGCTGAAGAGCTTCGTTTTCCCCCTCCCATACCTGAAAGCCTTGAATCCTTGCCAAATACTCCAGCTGTTTTGAAGGCTGCACTGCAGAGCAGGGGGAAGCAGGAGAAATTCCTTTTAGACCTATGGCTTCGGCAGTTGGGGATGTTCCATTCATGAGAAGTTCCCTGGCAATCGTAGCTGTGCTATTTGTTGTAGGAGATATGCTGAAGAAAGAGCTGGAAGTCTGGCTCATTTCTTTGGACGACAAATAGCTTACAGTGGTACCAGGGGCTGATTTGTTGCGGCTTGCTTCCATCTCTTGATAAACATCAGGAGAGAGATGGAGTATTCCCTTTGGTGCTGAAAATAAAAACAAAGATAATTCTCATTACTCTAGAATGGGTTTGATGTGTCGACAATTTTCATTAATGTGTTTTGCAGTGGAAAACAAAGCAAGCATTAAGAAGCAGTAGCTTTTTTACATGGTAACTGTAAATGAAATTGCAAAATGTATTTAGAAACAAAATAGATCTGAAGTGCTCCTCTTAATCCTCTTCCCCTACTCGTTTTAAGAAGGTACAAGCCTGGACTTTAAAACTGTGGCTAGCGCAGAATACACATCACAAACAAGTAAGGTTTGGACATCTACAAACCACGAGGAACAGCTGCTACTTCAAAATAGTAGCACAATCGTTATTTCACTCCAATCTTCTGCCTCCTACCTCATACAATAATTTAGGCTGTTATTCCACAAGTAATTTAGACTAGCCTATGTCAGCACTGTCGCCACCAGAAGTAGTTCTTTTCTCTCCCACCTACAGCTGCTGTTTGTCCTCTCCAGCTGTTCTATCGCTTCCGCCAGCACCAGCACCTGTAGGACCACGCAGTGATGCTCATGAGAATGAGCTGTTGGAGGCAAAAGGAGGGCAGGACGGCTTCCTGTGGTAGCAGCACTGCCTCAAGGGCTGGCTCCAAGTGTGCTGAATTGCAGCGGCAGCCTGGGCTTAAACAACCTAGAATTGCCCTGCAGCCACATCGCTGCTCTGCTAATGACTCTTAGGTGATTGATTGCTCTTCAGTGAAGAGGAGGTTATTTATTAGCTGTGTACATGGCATCCTATAGTTTGCAAATAGCTACTTGCCTTGGACAACATTTACACAGAACATGGAAAGGATATCTGTGTCATCACTGATCAATAAGAGTTAGGGTAAATAGTAAAAACATCTGAATTCATTTAAGTGAATTACTTTTAAATATTTCCAGTGACATGTAAATTGGGGATAATTTGTCTACATTCCAAAATTTTCAAAATATTTTTAGAAAATGTCTCAACCCTAAATCTGCTTGGAAACAGGAATACATACTTGATCAGTTTTGCTGATAGTCCTGTGGATGGAAATGCTCAAAATTAAGTCTGAAGTTTGCTAGTTTTCATACACAATGAAGCATTTGTTGGAAACATGAGTACCCAGTTTACTGATATAAGAGAAAAACCTCTTTCTTATTATTAAAATATTGAAAAATAAGCCTGAAATGTGTAATTTCATATTAATAGCATGCTTTAATCTTGTAGCATGTATTGGAAAAAAAATGGATGAACTTGAGCCATACGGCATTTCATTCTAGGGATGATGAACCTGTTTGTTAACCTGTTTTCTCTTTCCCAAGAGAAATCAAAGGGTTCAATGTTTAATTCATTTACAGTAAGTATTAAATTCATCTTAGAATGTAGGATAAATTCAAAGAGAAGAAAATTAATTTCCAGTTACCTAGAAAGGATTCCTCTAATCCTAATAGTGCAGGCAGTATTTTTAAATAAAATGTCTACTACAAGGAGAAGACTCAAAAATATTACCAGTAATTAATATCCTCACTTTCAACTACACGGTGAAAATCAAATTTCCTCACTGCTGACTTAGCAAACTGCTTACAGGTGAATCTTTTAACTGATTTACTCACACATTTGGCTTTTAAATTAATATTGCTTTCAGAAAGCCGGACCATCGGCTTATACCATTCACAAAGACGTATCTGTAATTCACCTGACTGCTCTTCCCACCTACCTTTGTGGGGCTGAGGAGCCCGGTTGGACCCTGAACTCTTAACTTGAAAGGTGTTTCACCCAGTCTTGCAACTGGCTCCAAAGCCAGTGAACCCTGCCCTGAACACTAGAGCTAAGCACAAACTCAAGACAATGCTATTGGGAAAGACAGAGGACAGGGTCCCTAAAATTTCTTTTTCTCCATTTGGGACAATTTAGAATATAACTTTGTAGATAACAACTGTGTAAACATGCAGCATTATTTTATGGCACATAATCACTACATGATAGACTGATTTGATACCCTTTTTCTGAGGCTACAACCTCCAAGGCCTATCACTGCTCACATTTTTAAATAGTCTTATATAGGAGCTAACACAAAAGAAAATTAAAATAGATAATACAGATATTGATAGCTGATGTTAGGTTACAAAATCAAACAGCAACAATAATACTGAGTGGCAGGTGTTTGTCGCCTCCGAAGACCTGCCTACTGTAAATCTGATTTCCTATAAATATTTGAGAAACAGAAATGAAAATGGAACAAAAGGTAAACCAGTAGACTTGTTCAGAAATAATATGGTAATAGCCCCCCCAAATCAATTTTAGAAAAACATAGTATGTTAACTTAAAAAAAGTTTAAAGCCGTTTAAAATCAATTCCAGTGCTGCAGATGTCTGTTCCATTGATGTAATATTACTTAAAACAAACATTTTACATGCTTTCTCAGCCATTTCACTGTTTTTACATGATCCACCCGAATATCTAACCGCTGTCTGGAACAATGGCTTGGAATATGTCCAGATTACTAAGCTTTCTAAATGTTAAAATAACTAATATGCAGCATATGATGAATAAAAAGATATTGAGCAGAGTACAGCAAATGCTCCTAAAGTACTGACTTTAATGGTGATGTTAAATTAATAATACTACCTTTACACTTATGCAACACCTTTCTGCTAAAGACTTCAAAGTGCTTTATAAGCAATAATTAATTTAAATCATACATGGGCTCTGAGAGGCAGATATTATATTACCATCATTGATTATCTCTGGAAACAAAGTAATGTAATATTCTAGTCGTTACATTAATATAGTTGCAAGCTATTAACTTTTTATATTCAGGGCCTATGTTTCACGAAGCTTCTTACAAACTTGTTTTAAAAAGCCAATAAAAATTTGGTCTCTGAAAACTTCTATCAAGCATATATTAACTGTAATTCATTATCTATTTTTAATATTTCTTAAATATAATTTCTCACTGTTATCTGCTTGCTTCAACTCTGTTGAATTGTAGAACAGTGTGAATATATATACACATATATATATATATACACAAAAAACAGTTTAGTTACAGTGGTAAAGCTGTTATCACAAGACAAGGAGTATGGAATATGACATCAACAGAGGATTAAGTGTAAAAACAAAAGGACTCTTCAGAAATTATCTTAATTACTCTTCCAACAAGCACTTCAACAAAATACATGGAAGGCAGAAATACTGTCCTCTAACACCTTTATGCATTGCAGAACATCTCTAGATGAATATTTTCATATTTTTGTTAGTCTTTCAGCTAAAAAAAAATATGGATTTTTGTATCCACTGAATATTTACCCCATACTAACTTCACCATACTCCAAAGGCAGCATTAGGAGTCACAGGATCTGTAATACTACCATTTAGGCCAACAACATCACACCTTCTGCTGGACATTAACCTAAAGGTACATTCACAAAACATGTTAAAATAATTTCCATTCATATTATTTAAACCTGTGGGCAAATGTGCTATGAAAATATGCAAGCTAGCTATGCAGTGTAATCACTAACATTTGAAAAACATGTCTTATTCATCCTTGGTGGTAATTGTTAGCAGCCTCTCACAATCTTCTGAAGTCTCCAAAAACTCCACACCAAAGACCTCTCTTACCTAAGAACAAGTTTCTTGATCTTCCATTGTCTCCTTTTGCTGTCACGCCTATGGACGCTCAGTATACTTGGTCTAAATCACAGCTTTATTCTTTCTTGGAGAACGACAATTTTCTCCCAAGGCTCTCACCTGTCCTACAGCAAAGCTATACTTGTCAGTGCGTCAGAAGCAGCGTCAGCTGGAGTATGACTTTCCCTGACACCCCTGAAGAGCACATGCTCTTCCCTGCACCACAATCAGTGATACGGGGCACCAGCAGGAAGAAGCGCTTTCATAGCATGAAGGAGCGCTTTCGTCTTGTGTAATGAGTCAAAGTAAACCATGATATAATTCTGTATACGACATGCTCACAAATTAACACCTTGCTATTTGAAATAACCCATCACTGGATGAGGAAAAGATTATTCATGAAGAGATAATCAGTATTTTTGGAACTGAATAAAATACTTGATAGATAATCATCAAAAAGCTTTCTTTCAGATTATGCTACTTGTATTGACAATGAAAAAAAATTCTTGCATTGTGCTGCTCAAAGCACGCGGCAAAATCTTGTAGTAAGGTATTAATCAGGAAAAGTTAGACCCAGATCTAATCCTGACTTCACTATTCTGTAAGTTAAAATGAACAAAACCTTAAGAGGCATGGCAATAATGCAATAATTCACATGCAGTAATTCTTCCACAGAACTGGCAGGTTCTCAACATGCCCTTAGAATGTGGCCCATTATGAATCCACTGAGAGCAAAAAAGAGCATTTATAAAAGCAAATAACTATTTCAATAACAAGACTGAAAAACGTAAATATTAGCATAAAAAGAAATTATCATTTTATACTCCACTCATTGTAAAAACCTATTTATACACTAGAATATTTTCAAATTTTGTTTCATTACCTCAGTAGGAAGCAAACGTCAGTCAAACAAGTGAATAGGCAAACAGGACAGCCATTATGTTCTCAGTAATAGTCTACACACAATCTTGGCTTGAAGAACCAAGATGCAATCATTACCTACTTAACACAGCTATCTGTGGTATTTCTAAGTCACCAGCTACTGCAACATTCAGACATGAAAAAATGTTTTGTCATTACACAATGTCCTTCAATCGAAAGATCTCATCTCTGTGACCTTAAACAAACCGATGTTATATAAAGTCACTCATTAAAATACTAGTTTGTTTAACCTTAAAATAACCATGACACTGAAGTAAATACTATTTAGTTCTTCACAAAGCCAGGTCTTGATATCCTTATTTTCACTGCAACTTTTTCTGTACAGCCAAAAAAGCAAACTGCAGTGTCGCAGGAGACTTAAATTGTATACCTTCCTGTAACATTTGGTGTTTAATTTGTGTGAGGAAAGTCCTTTGAAATCTCCCACAGCTTTACCTC